TCTTCCATATCCTTAATGATTGTATAATTAGGATTGACTATGTCTTAGAGTAATCAACGAAATTACGAGCTGTCGTTATTATTATGTAAAATATCAAATGTCGTACGTGTTAGATGGTATGTCCATCTCCAAGGTACCATTTTGGACGAATAGCGGTCCGTCTAACATGCCTAGCACTTTGATGAGCAAATACTTTGGAGATTACATAAATCTAATAATAATCTTCAGGTAATATTAAGTATAGATGATTTGTTTTTTTTAATTACAAATATAAAACATGTATATGTAAATAGAACTCTTAATTATGCGCGAACATGTTCATCTCTAATTGAGCATACGTGAATTTCTTATCATCAGTCTAAGCCGAACTGTGCGGCTCCATACACAACGGCGGTTTAACAATACACGACTCTTTCTCTCTCACTCTCTCTCTCTCTCTTTCTCTCATTTTTTTCTCCTCTCTTCTATCTCTTTTTTGCCTTAAGCTTTGTAGTTATCTACCGTGTTAACAAATAATATCGCTGTAATAAGAAACAACAATATATATGCATACGCTACGGAAAAACGTTATTCATAAAATTTTCAAACAATCTCTTTGACGACGTAACGCACGTGGTCGCCGGCTAGGTAAAGTATAATTGTCTCTTACAAACAATACCACTCGTCGCGGAATGAAGCGTGGATCTCTCTTTTTGTCGTCGCGAATCGGTTTCTCTCTTGCGAAATCCCCAGCTTAAGGGAATCTTAACACCAACAGACGGAACGTAATTCCGTTGAAAACGAAAACGAACAATTTTATAAGTCAAAATGATAACTAACGATTATTATAATTATCGTACAGTGTGGAAATCGTTATATGGAGCAACCTCGTGCTACCGATAGGTATCGATTCGAGAGAACACGATGTCACGTCGTTGGAATCCTACACCTCATTGTCACAGCCCTTTACCGCCGAAATGCGGACACAGCGTGCGTTACACATAGCTTTGTTTGCAATATATCCCCTTTACAATAGGCCAAATGCATTGAGTTTCATCGTCACCGTCAATAGGTCAACGTCGTCGTCATCATCGTTAACGTCATTGTCGTGGTCACTTTCAAAAATATATATACGCTGACTACTTAGGCTTTCGACGAAGAACGGAAAGACGTTGTCTCGTTCACAATCAACAGGATTAATTTTTCTTTTTTTCGGATATACAGTGTTATTACCATCTAGCAATACTTCGTTTATAGCCTAGGTAATAGTGAGACCCTCATATGATCCATTTGAATTACTTTTTCATCGGTTAATTTTTGTAATTTTTTTCTCTTCCGACCGCGTGAAACATTGAGACGTTATCGCACTATTTACACGGTTCAATCATAATTAGTAATTGGAAATAAATGCAAAAATATACGTATATATGTATGAACATTTAATCGAGCTAACGAATATATCCGCGCAGGTTTTTTTTTCCGATCGTCCGCGCAAGTCGCGTAACGATTTTCTTCGCGCGGTCTTCTCGAAACAGTCGGTAGAGTATATTTACCCTTAACTAAAAACCATTACGCAGTAATTCAACTTATGTCCTATTGTCTTTGTTCAAGATATCACTACGCCGAGACATTCACTATGTCCCCGTTCTTTCGTCCTCCTCTGGGGAAAAAAAATTTCTCGCTGATTACGTTGTATATACTCCTCGTGTGTCTTCATCTCGCGTAGCGGAGACCTTCGTGATAAAATCCTGACGAAGTCCATGATAATCGAATCGCGATCTCAGCTCAATTCAATTTTCGGCCAAGTGAGTTCTACATTCGTCATAATTCGGTTTTTGTTTTGTAAACGCGTCCGTAAATGTAAAGTATGAAGATGCATCGTGGATGCATTCACTCGTGTATTCGTGGCGAATGAAAAGTTCGGAATTATCAGTAAAACGCAAACTTTTTTTTTTTAACGACCGATTGTTTACGATTGACAATTAATCGTGAAAAGAACGGTCGTTTAACATACATTGTATACGTATATAATTTATCGCGTGTATGTAAGAAGGTAAAAATATATTAAACGGTCGGTACAAACTATCTACAGTATTGACTTCAGGATCGGCAGTGAAACCTCTGTTTTCTACGTACGACAATTTTCAGATTTGTTTTTTGTTTCGTTAGAATTACTCAAGAGACGACAATCGCAGCGCAGTCGCGTAAATAGTATTACAAGTAACTTAAAAGACGTAACTTTAATGTACGTAATTAAAATGCGAATGTGACTTATGATATGCAAATTATGTTATGCTAATAACATACTTAAAACAGTTCATTTATGTTATAGATACAACGGACCAGTAGTTATCCCGCATAATTTTCAACTCGTAGCTTAAATTGTCGCGTAATCTCTTTCTTGCGATACGTAGAATAGTCTGAAGCCAATTGAAGAGTGGAAGATATAATGGTAAAGAGAAGCGAGAGATCAATCGCAAGAAAAAAATAAAATCTGAAATTTTTATGCTTGTAAAAATGCAACTATTAATTGAGTTCAAATACAAATTAATATACCATATTAATACATATCAAATTTACAATAAAGATTTGTTAAATTATTCATACTGTAGAAAATGAGCAATTCTATTTAAAAAAAGAATAACTTTCGTATTCTTTTGGCACTTTCATCTAGAAAAAAAATAACGTGATCAAAATATTTTCCTCGGGGAACTGTTCTTTTCATTTGAAACATTTTCTTGTATTAATAGTTTCAAAGAATTGATTGTACAATAAGTAATAAATATTTTTTTTATGTATTTTTATACTGAAAAAAGGATATACTTTTTAAAAAAATTCCATCCGCTTTAAATTTCTTGTGTAATAACAAATTTGTAATACAGCTATAAGTATAACATAGCTATTAGAAATTTAAATATTTTTTTACAATGTATGAAAATAAATGTAACAGTATCTAACCCCCTTGTATTATTTATGTACAATTTTAAGGATATATTAAAGTCAACTTTTTCTCCGAATATATAATAGTAAGTATTAAGATCATAATCCTTCCTAAAATTACAATTGACTCCAGGCTCTCCTATTCATTCTCGCAAGGATCGTAAAATCCTGAATGCTCTTATAAAGTACGAAATGATGGACTCACTTAGAATTCTTGTCTTTTAGTGCTAAAAGTGGCTATATGTTATAACTTTAAGTGTTTCACCAAGTCGGAATGCCGAAATTAGAGATCAAATCCCCACGTTTAGCGATAAACTCGGCTAGCACTCGTAAATATTGTGTATAAGAAGATATAACTTTAACTTAAATAGAGGATTATAAAACGACACGAATGGAGGGTGGGAAGGGAAAGAAAGCTTAACGTCGTTGCTATCAGACTTTCCACGATTTTCAATGCACATCTCTTTTGTAATAACGATTGTCTCGCCTCCCTCAGTCTCGAATTGTCGGAATGAACCGACTTATATTGACGCAAAAGTAAATAATAATGGACGGTCATGACGGATATGCCCACTCTCATATACGAGTTTTTAAAGGGCAGTATTGTGCGATTATTAATTAATTGCTACCAATATTTTAGAAATCAATATTTCTGATCTTGCGCGACAGTCGTAATTATAAAAACTTGATATCCTTGATGAGATCAGTATATCTTGAAACTAGAATAACCAATGTTAAATTGGAAGACAGACGAATAATTTTGTGCATTAAAAAAAGCTTGCAAGAACTAGTTTATTATTTGTAAGATAATTGTTGGAATAGAGATTTGTTTTATGACACAACCTAACTAGAAAAATAATAGAAATAAAACATTAAAAATATGTCATCTGAATATATCTTTTTTCTTACAAACTTTAAACCATGGTATAATATTGGCTATTCTAGTGCCAAAACACAATATATTCCGTGATATTTATAGTAACAATAATGTTACTGTTGATCGTGAAGTTTGATTGCACACTTAGAAATTTGGAACATTTATGTATGTTATTTCGGCGTCAGTCACAGTCAGAACGAGAAAAATTATTTCCCATATTGATATTTTAAAGATCTTTCGCGGATTTCCCGACAGTTGTTGATATCAGCATAGTGATATCTAAACATAATCGCTATGACGAGAAGCGTACTACGTACGCTGACATGCACGAAGCAACCGAAGAACAAAATTATCATGGGGTTCTCTCGTCTATCTTTCGGATCATGCGTGTATTTACAGAAAAAATATACTTTCCTCGACGATCGGTGCGTCGATTTGGAGCTCGATCGTTCGATGCGTCGTGATTACGTCGCTGTTTAGCGAGTACGCTAAATAACGCTAAGGCGAGCGGATAAAGACGAAGAGTTAGAGCAGGGAAAACGATAATGAGGGGAGGGAAAGGCAGAACAGCGGAGGAGGAACGGTAAAACCATCCTCGAGCTTTTTGGAGAACGCTCGCGCGTGTTGGCGCGGTCATTCTCTCTTTCTCTCCTTCTCCAAGATCACTCTTTATCGAGCATTCAATTATACATACATATATCCCTAAGATTAGAATTCAATCGCGTAGGAGAGCCCCGCGCGTCTCCTTTCATCTAGGAAGTAACCGCGTGGAAGGGAAAGGCTGTTTACAGCGTGAACCTGGTGCACCACTCTCTCGTCCCGCATCAACGTTCTTTTTCTCTCTTTGCCTTTGTCTTTTTCTATTTACACACTTTGTCATACTTTCGTTCTTGTGCACCAAACAGAGAGTCCTCGGAGATTGTTCAGGCGCATGATGATGAATGCCAGGGCCTTCAGCCGCGACACCGTCGTCCGTTAGCCGTCGCTGCGCGTTCGTCCTTTTCGCTATCGTTCAGGGAGATGATCAATGACGATGCGAATGAGATGGACGATTCAGAGGAGGATCCATCATCATGAAGCTCTTCGTCGTTCAGAGACGCGTGCTCCTCTCCGTGACCGGGGTTGGTCGGCGGTCCTCGTCGTCGTTCTGAGCGACGGCGTGATATTTGCCGCGCGTCGAGCTGGGCCCGAAAATCGGCGAGCCTCAGACAAGATGACCGTCGATGTCGGAGTAACTAGGCGTCGCCGCAAACGTAGACAGCGGATGACTCTGACAGGACGGCGGCGGCGGATGTGAATGCGGATGCGAATGAGGACCTCCGTTGTTGGTACCAGCACGAGCGAACGTGGCGGGTGGCGGCGGCACCGACGGTGGTATCGGCGATTTGGTGCCCGCAGTCATCACGGTGACGTCGGGCGGTGGTACGGGACGTGGCAGCGTTCTGGTGCGCGTCAGGGTACCGGTACTGGCTCCCGTCATGTGTCCACCCATTATGTGACCTGTCGAACCCATGGACGAGGGATAGTAGGGTCCGCTGGTTGGATCGATGGCGGGTGGCGCCGGACTCGGATTCCCGTCGTAGCTCATATAGCCCCGACCGCCATTGTCCATCTCCACGCTGTAGAAGCTCACGTCGTTGGGCGGCGCCGGGCTCGGATTGCCGATGTAACTCGACTTCGACACTGCAACGTTAGATGAAGACAAGTATTTAAGAGGTGGCATGAAAAGCTATACATTATAGACGTATGTTAGATACAGCCAGAGAGACAATAATGAAAATTCAGTGGATTTTATATATGCCGTTATGATTTATGACACTGCAATCCGTCAAATTTCGCATCTAGGATTCTAATATTTTTCTTTATATTATCCCTTGGTGCCATAAGATATATGATGTATCACTTTATCTTTGTTTAATATTCAATGAATACGGATAGAAACGTTATACATTAAAGAATGTAACATAAAAACAAATATGTATGTATCTTTATTAATAGACAAATGGAAAAAAACTGGAAAAGTATTAGAGGAAAGAAAGCTGAATATACCATATCAAGAGTGGCAGCGAAGAGTAATACATCTAAAATTATAGTAATAGAGTATATTTAAAATTATACGTGTAATATATAAACAAATATAGCGGATCGTACTGTATTTATATAATTTGTATTTATCAATACTTACACGTACCTGAGAGAGTCCCGCTGGCGGTGGTCCGCTGCGGCGGCGAGTCCATGTTCATGGACGTTTGCATGTGATTGCTGCGACGACCGAGGGTGCCCTGATGAACCTGCATCTCTAAACCGCCTTTCCCGAAATCCTGCATAGTTTGATCTATTAAATACGTGCTAGCTGCGGTTTTGCGCCCCTCGTCCTGTTATACAACAAATTGAACGACAAATTGATTTGTGATTTGTGGTCCGATATCCGGTTACATTTCGCAAATAACACAGACGGGCATGAAACGGGCTTCGGAAGATAAATCTATTTGTTTCAAAATTTTGCTCTAATAAATCACAAAATTCCTCTTATATTAATGTGAAATTAATATACATTATTATATATATATACATATTGTTTCTAACATAATAGAATATTCAAAATAATTATTTTATCATATACTGTTTCTATAATTAGACTTTAAATATAAATTTGAAAATAATATAATAGATTTCTATACACATAATTTAATTCCTTGTGTTTCACGCCATTCTTTGTAATTAATATATTAATACAAGTTTCAACAAGTGTCTTCTTGTACTTAAGATCTTTCCCAGTGGAAGTATAAGTAGGGAGGAGTGAGCGAAAGAAAGAGAGAGAGATAGTTATATCTTGATAGCATTAGAACTAGAATATCGATAATTAACACGATAATACTTCAACCGTGACAGTTAAAATATACATTCAATTTGCATTACATTTACAATTAACCTCATTTTCATTTCACATCTTCGTGCTAATTTTACGAAGATAATATTAACAATATTTAAAGTATCAAGTAGTCTAATAATTTAATTAATTTTACTAATCTAATTAATTATATAATCGACTTATAATAAGCTTATAATTAGCAATTTATTAATAACATTTAATATTATATTATTAATAATAAATTAATAATATAATCATAAAATCTGTAATCACCTATAATTAGTGACACCTAATCGAAAATTAGTTTTAATCGTTGCATGTTAAGTGTCTGAATGCATAATTAACAATCAGTAACTTTATTACGAAGCTTGCTATGATATACACTCATTTCTTTTTTTTTTTTAAAGCTCATTATTTTTAACGTCGTACAACGTAGATTCACGCTAAGAATTTTGCTCATTTTACGTATTTTCCTCGACGAAGGAAAGCGTCGTGCTCGAACATCTACAGTATCGAAGAGCATTGTGCAATCGCCATAGCGTGTCAAATCGACGCGATCGAGATTAACCTCGTTCTCCGATGCTATGCTTTCCTTCGTCTCGAACATCTACGGATATATAATACACCCGCTAAACACAAACTAACAGTAATATTACATCAAGAGTGCATTCAGAAATATATAAGATGTTATCAATTTTATCCTTGCTGTTCATCGAATGTTTAACACGGATAAAATGATACATGCACTAAAAAAAATTTTTGATTAAAAATGAATAAATCATAAAACATTCTAATCATGTGAATTAAAATTATGGTTGTCTCAATTAGCATTGTGTAATAGATTCAACCAGAAAATTTTGATTTGTTCAATTTTAATCGAAATTTTAATTAATGCAACCTTTTTTCGATATGAGTGCAGTTTAGATTTCTGAACGCAGTCCAATAATACAATAATATAAATATATAGTATAACACACATATTGCACATAACAGTTATATTATGATGTATATTATTGTATTTAGTAGGAAATTATAGTATAAACGTAATGTTACTATTAGTTTGTGTTCAGCAGAATAAGATAATCTATTTATTAAAGGATGCATCGTTTCGACAACGTTTACCCCTTCAAAACTCATTGTGCATGTCATCGAATGGATTCCTGCGTTAATAGTATCGGGTATTAATTGAATATACATTATATTAATTTGTTATTAATTTTTAAAAATAATATTTCGTGGTTTGTGTAGAACGACGTGAAGTTGTTTGCGGCAAATCTTTTCTAATGTCGCGCAGCATACCTATAAAGGACGTGTCGAAATGGCGGTTTATTCAGTTTATTGCATGTCGCGATGTTTACTCATCCCGAATGCGTGCGTCGTAAATGCAATAAACGGAAATGCCGAAACGACGAGTAATCATCGTGTTGTATTAACGTGTACACTCGCGCGAGATTAATCGCGTTGTTCAACGTCGCGTTAGTGGCGCGTTTCTCTTCGGTCGAGTTCTCGCCCCGCGTTATCCATTTACGATCTGTTTTATCTATTTGATAAAAAAAACGCAAGATCCATTCAGAGCTTATTGCGCCAATAATTGAATAGATACCTTGCATCATTTGTGGCATTTACAGGAAACAGTTTGAAATCTTGTAAAAAATTCTCTAAGAATTCCCGGATTTTTTTCAGGTATTTTTATTCAAAGTTCCAGATAAGATTAGACAATTTTTTTTAATGCAATTTTATGCAAATAAATTGGAATGCAAGTAATGCGAACAAACTAAATATTGTAAATTAGTATTATAGAAGAAAGGTATTCTACGAGATTGTATCTATCATTTTCTACAATTGGAGTTGCCATTGCTACTTTGATATCTGACAGTGTGCATTCAGTAACATTGTAGTCTTTAAATTTCACGCGCGCGATCGCGTGAAGTTGCTGGCGCGCTTTTCGAAACGTTGCCAAAAACGTCGCGAGATGCACGTAATAGTGCCGAAGCGTCGATTCGCTCATCCCGAATGCGTCGCAAGTGCGATAAACGTCGGAAATGTCGACACAAACGACGGGTAAGCATCATGTTATTATATATTATACCAACATATAATATATGATCACGAGAGATTAACCGCGTCATTCGATGTCGCGTTACTCGCGTGCTTATTCTTTTCGGTCGAGTTCTCGTCCCGCATCATGGCACGATGGATTCGTTAAAAAAACGCAGAATTTCGGCGGTAGTTATTTATTCGAAGTTTATCGCGTTAGTAATTGAATAGATATATTTGCATCAATTGTGTGCCCGTTTAGTAACTCTCCATTTTTTTAATAGTATTCCGATCGCGGTTTGCGGTGAGGCAAATTCGCGTGAAATTGCCGCGAGTTTAGAGTTCCTTGTATCACGGTGCATGTAAATGGCGTCGAAGAGTCCACTGCACGTATTTGTTCTCGAACGCATCGCAAGTGCAATAAACATTGGAAATGCCGAAAGAAATAACTGATAAGCATCGTATTGTATTATATCAATACGATTGTGCGAGATTAATCACGTTATTCGATGTAGCCTTAAGGCACGATTAGACCAATGTAAAGGCAAAAGCACAGAGTCTTGGATGGTGCATAATAAAATAAATCGATCAAAATCCTTCATTTCTTTTTTTTTTTTCATGAAATAAAAGACTCTGATTGGTTGAATTTCTTATGCTTTATTCGTTATGCATAAGGCACAAAGATCTGTGTCTCTTTAGACTAATTTTAATCTCGGTTCTATTTACTCCTAGAATTAGAAAATTGTAATTCTAAGAATGTATCTTTTTCTAATTTGAAGAATATAGAATTTGCGCGCGCGGTTCACGGTGACAAAGTCGCGTGAAGTTGTCAGCGCACGCTTCGAGTCCAATTCCTAACTTCGCGGCGCGCATATGGCGCCAAAACGACGACTTGTTACGTTTCGCGCTTCGTGTTCGTCTCCAACGTACAGTCGCAAGTACATAAATGTCGGAAATGCCGAAACGAACAACGAGTGAGTACTGGACTGTATTATATATTAATTATATGTACGATTGTAATTAACAGCATATCGTTTTATAACCTCAATTATATATTTTTCTATTTTTATGGACAACTATCATGACACGTCATGTTATATGTTTGTCCTTCTAAATCATGTATCGAATGCAATCAGATCGGTAGTAAAATATTCGATCTCTAATTGGCGAGAAATATTGATTAAATCGTCTAATAGTTAAATGATATTAATAATATTCGACAATTGTGTCATGTGAAAACCGCGAATCCGTGTGAAGTTGCTCGCGCGCGTTCTGAATTTTTACTCGACGCTCGCCATTACGTCGCGTGTAATGAATGTCGAAAGTCGCGATCGGACGATCGATCGTTGCGTATTGCATTATTTTTTCGTCGCGAGTACAATAAACACCGGATGTGCCATACAAAGTGGCGAGCGATCGTCATGTCCCGTTAATTAGTATTCGCGACGATAATTAGTGCTTCCAATTGACTATTATCCACCTCAGTGACTATTTCGGGCGATGGAACATCGCCTGACGGAGAAATAGCGGCAGCGGTGTAACGACTGGTAAGTAAATTTGTTCGATCGTCGATTAATTAACCCGGCATTATCCCGGAAAAGCGAGTTTACCGCGAATCAGAAAAAATAAGCTATACGCGTTATATTCTCATATTACATTCTCGTTTGATCGATAGTAATAAATTTGATATTTCGTGCGTGAAAAATACGTTAATCCTATCTTTACCAGAATATAAAATAATAAAAAATAATAAAAGAATTGTTAACTAAATAAATAATAAATAATAAAATAATGAAAACCAAACAGTAACCGAATAGAAATTTTAATTTTATCAGATTTTTTAAAAAATAATTTTTTATTGAATTATTTTTGCGTAAAATATAATTTTTCTCTGAATTTATTGGTTTAAAAATTGCAAAGTATCTTTGAATTATTTACTTTAAAAAATATAATTTTTATACATGGATATATTTCGTATTCTATGTATCAATAAAGAAACATAGTCTTTTCATTTTCATTTACAGATCAATATCCTGACATTTAATTTTACGTCATTCCGGTGAGTCATATAAATTAAATTATTTAATGTCATAAAATAACGTGAAAATGAAATTAAAACCAGCATACCAACATTTTTGTTCTCTTCATTGAATTTGAACATCGGTCACAATTGAATTTTAATTATTGGTTCATTAAATTTTATTACTCTCTCATTACTACTCTTACTTCCATTATACACGAGGTACTCGTATAACACTACTGCGAGAAAGAAAGCAAGTATTCAATGACTAAAAAAGCCAAGTAGAGTGATTCTATGAAGAATTTATAACATCGTAAAATCTTATTGGATTAAGATGTTGCGAGCATTTCATTAATAAGACTGTTATAATCATAGCGCTATTTTTGAGTTTAAGAGATACGTTAGATTTACCTGAGGGTAGTTACCTTTAGCCAAATACTGCGATCAAATGATACGAGCTCATTATGATAAATATAGGTGATGATATATTATAAAACAACATCAGGATTTTATGTGAAAATAAAAATATGTGCTATATTATGCCAAAGCTGCAAAAAATAACTGTAATTTGAATAAAAATAGTAGTTTAACTTCAAATTATTAAAGTTAGCTTCGTATCCAAAAGGTTTCTATAGATTTTATTGAGCACGTAAGCAGGGTCTCACGTAGCTTTTAAATAATCGATAACTGAAATAACATCATGCTTAAATGATGTGATGCGTATTGGGTAAACGGTTGAAAAATAAAATTAAAATTGACAAGAAGAAATAACAGTATTGTTATTCTGTTCATTATATTCTATTGCTTATCACAACATCTTGCATCTTAGATGACAAACGGAACTGTGAAAAAAAACATAGAAATCAAATGATAAAAAAGAGCGAGAGCAAGAGCAGCGAAACTAATAGGGGGAGCGGAACAGAAAAAGTGTGTTGCTAGAACTCAAACCTACCCTCCGGAATTACTTGTTACTAAGAACATACTGACTGATGGCACTGACCACGTAATCATTAGCGTCGAAGTTGACGTCGCTCTTCTCGTCCGACATCGAACTTAATTCGCCAGTCATGGTGTCGCCATTGACGGTGGACGGTGCATACATATCCGCGGTCTGCGACTTATTAATACCTGTTTAAAGATAACATACGTTAAACATGTGTGAGTAACAAAGCGAAACGCGAACAGTAAAATTACACAGCCGCGTACAGAAGATTAATTTAATTAAAACAAGTTAATTTAATTTTTTTTAACTAATGGCACAAACAAATCGCGAATATTTTTGACAGTGATCTATGAACAAGAAAAAACACATAACGGTAAAGTTAACGAAGCTATATGTATATATAATCATGAATTTATTATTTTTATAATTTTATCAGTCTATATCTCTATATTATAGCCATATATTTATTAGTGTGATTAATTAGCTTTATTTAATTTACATAATTGAAATTGAACAATTCCTTAAATATTTTGATTAGATTAAATGTAAGGTATTGTGTGTTATTTACATTTCACTTTAAAATCTTTTTCAAAATGGATTATAAGAAAGTAAACTCATCTTCTGCCATGGCTGTAGCCAAACATTGGGCTGAATCTTTCTAAATTGAAGCGTATACGCGTTAAGTATTATTGGTCGCAAACTTACGAGTTTTATTTCGTTTTCGTATTATGTACCACGACATGATGAAGACATTAACGATAAAAATGATGACGGAAGTCGCTGCTAACGTATAGATATAATTCATCGGAAAGTCACCCTTTTCCGAGAGGACATCCGGCAGGTTTTCCTCGTTATTCGGGCCTAGAGAAATAAAGGAGAGAAAGAACACATGATAGATATCATATTTACCGGTGCGTTGGACCTTCTTTTTCGACTTTATTGTAGCAAAGACTATGGTTGCGGCAATGAGTAGGCAAGCAGAGGCGGAAACAGTGATGATAATGACGATGATGTAGGAGGAACTATTCTCGCTTGATGTCAACTCGGTTGGTGGCGCCTCGCCTGTAACCCAAGCCAATGCCCCATCACCGGTTTATGTTATTCATGCAACGTATCTACATTGTTAGTTACACGTTCAACTTCGAAATCCTTGGCTATTGCGAATGCTGTAACGCCGCTTATTGGGTTTTACAACTAGATAGATCAAATAGCAACTAAATACTTGCTCAGCTTATCTATTACATTCCCATAAAAAAGCAACCAAGTAATTGGATTGTATTTCTACATATACTAAAATAATCATGATAATGCGCGGTAGTTCATTACACATAGTTCACATCAATTTCCAAATTTCAACTTTCTTGTCAAGCCTGCAATTTATCTGACTTGGAATTAGAAGCACTTGGAAAAATACTATATCAAAAAAATTTCAAGGCTAAGCGTCACCGTACTGATATCATTGAAATGAGTCATGCTGAAAATCACTGCGCTATATGTATGATATTTGTAAATGCTATGTTACGTAATGTCTATTGTACTTTATTACAACTAACCCACGATATAAATGCCATGCGAACATTCACGAGACGCACTAAATATAACATAATACATGATCAACCTAATTACTGAGTACAATTAATTATGTGGATGCGAGGCAATCGCGTTTAATTATGTCTCGATGATCTGCATAATGATTTAGCAAGCTGTTATTTTCCATTATGTAGTGTGAATAACTTAGTTCTAGTATTTCGCGCGTTTGTGAGAAAAACTATAATCTTTATGAGAATGATCTTTATGATTATGATTTCTTAATTACGTCGTACTATAGTGAAAAGCTGTTTTTGCTATTTTCGAACAGAAAAGCGATCTACGGTGTTTATCTACAACTTACGAAGTGTCTGGACTTTGACGAGATCTGGCAAGAAACCACTGTCTCCCTTTTCGTTGATCGCCTTTACGCTAAATACGTAATAAGTCCCCAGCAACAGGCCGGATATAGTAGTTTTGTATTCGCCGGGTACGACGTCCAGGTAGTGATAGCGATCCTCGTAATCTAGCGCTTGTCGCCATCGTATTTGATGAGACGTCGGCAAGCCGCCATCGAAACCGCGTTTCCAAATCAACGTAACCGAATCGTGAGTATAGTTATAGACTTCCAAATCACTCGGCTTATCCGGCGGTGAAGTGACGTCCAAAAGTATTTCTTCTGTAGAATGTCCCATTTTGTTTTGGGCACGACATTCGTATTTTCCATAATCCTGCGATCTCACGTGGTAGATGGTCAACGTTGTTTCCGAATAGAGTTCCGACAGCTAGGAAACGTAAAGACAAATTATTACTTTATCATTAGGGATGCAAATATTATTAAGACATCAAAATCAGAAAGATATTTTGAATGCGTAACTGTCTTTCGAGTATATAGTTCTTGTAATAATACAGTTATCGTTTCTCTCGGCAAAATTTTAATTGGGTGTTGTGACCTCTTTACAACTTTCGAACTTGCAACGGTAAATATCTCTTTAACTATGTCCGACATGGAAATTCTATCAAAGCGAAATTCGTCCGAAGTTAAACGAAGAACAAGATTTACAGTACGCGATACAATACTACGGAGCCTAGGTGCTCTAAAGGAGATATACTGGTAAAGGAAGTCGTTATTTAAGAGATAAGTACATCTTATAAAGCGACTTACATCGCTGTGAGTGATACTGTATTTATCCTCGGTTGCATTCGGCAATAAAGTTTTCCCATTGAAGATCCAAGTGAAATGCGGCAATGGAGATCCTCGCGCTTTGCAGAACAATTGGACGTTTATTCCTTTGTTCGCCGCTGCCTTTCGCGTCAGCGGGGTGTTCGTCATTTCTGGTTTAACTGCGCATAAAAGTACCAGTAAATTTTTTATTACGCGTTTTCCGATACATGAATCACGTGCACGAATGTTTCGAAAAGTTTCGTATATATCCCACGCTTACATTTATAACTGCTTTTTTCTATTAAGATATAATTAAACGACATTTTTGCAGCAATTCTATAATTGCTGCAAAAATGTCGTTTAGTGAATTCTAATTCTATAATTGGCGGCTTCTATTATTAACTATTATTGACTATCATTGATATTATATTGGTTGAATACAATTAGTGTAATAATAATAATAATAACATTGCAAATTTAATTATTAATATCTATAATTAGGACACTTTTCACTAAACTATTAATATAATTATTTAATGTATAAACATTAAATAAATTTTAATAGTCATTATTATTAGTCATAAATAAATGTTTCAAGCTCATTTGTGATAAATTCATTGCTTGTGTTTATTTTTTCTCCAAAAATATAATAACAGCTAAAACTATTACTAAATGATGTATTACAATTAAATTCACAGCAAGTTGCTATATATATGTACAATATTTAAATTATTTAAATTATTATTTAAAATTGAATTTGTTCAATTTTTATACTATTCGCGCTTAGAATTTCTCACTTAGAACTCGGCAGTGTTATCACACTTATTATAAATAATCAAAATAAAATTCTTTTTACGTACAATTTGTAATAAATAGAATAGAATCCGATGTTACGTTGCCGATGCCGTTGTTGACTTTGCATCGATACTCGCCAACGTCTTCTTGACTGGGATTTTCTATGTGAAGATACGACGTCCGATTAATGAATGATGTCGAGTAACGTCCCGGCAGCTCAGGATTCGATCCTATTTTCTGCCATGTGACATACTCGTCACCGATTGGACTGCCGTCGACTTCACAAAATAGCTTTGCTTCGATACCCGGCGGATAAACTATCCCCGACGAGGAAGTACGCTTGATTTTAGCTGGATCTGCAGGATACAGTGAGTAAAATGATGAGTCGTGATTCGCATATTAGCAAGAACAATTTTAGATATATATTAAAAGAACTTTTAAAACTAGTTGATGTCTAAAAAATCATTATAAAAGGAAGATAGAGAAAAAAATATGAGAAGAAAATAAAATAATTATAAGAAGATCATTAACAAATTGAAGATAAGAAATTGTAAATAATTAAAATTAAATTCTGTAAGTATATAATAATCATAATAAATAAAATGAAATATAATATTACATATATTAGTGAGAACAATATATATTAAAAGATTTTTAGAATCACTTGTCTAAAAAATAATTATAGGAAAAAAAAAGAGATATTATAGAGAAGATTAAAGAAGGATTAAAATAATTATATAAAATGTAGCAAAAAATTAGAGATAGGGAATTGTGCAAGAGACAGACAATCAGACAACATATATACGTACTAAAGTCAATGTAATTTTTTAAAATACCAAATACTGCTAATATTTCTTTTAACATGAAATTAATCGTGATGATATTGCAATGAAATTTATTTGCAAACTGACACAATCATATTGTTTACTTACATTGCACGGTCAAATTTAGCTGATAAAAGGTAGTTCCTTCCTTGTTCAGCGCCTCGCATATGTATGTACCGGCGTCATGACGATCCAATCTCGTGATATTTAGCGTAGAACCGTGCGCGGTTATTCTCTTACCGCTACTACCCAACGGTAGACCATCCCTTGTCCACGTGTATTCCGTCGTGTTCGGATTGCCCCTTGCCGATACGGAAATTACAAAGGGCTCTCCTTCCAGGCCGGTTAATTCGTAAGGGTCCAACGGCGAAAATATCGGCTTGTCTGAGGAACATAAAATAAATTCGTTATGATTTTATATTTTCGTCGTAATTAAACAGAATATTAAAAGAACGATTATACGTTTTGATATTAATTTTCGAATAAACACATAATATCGCGAAAAGAAATATATAAATAAATCTTATTAAAATTACTATATAATAAAACTGTATATAACTTCGTTATTTCAATTAACAAAATTTTGAATACAATTTTACTTTTTCCATTTTCTGCATATAATCATATAATTAAAAAAATTTGAACAATCTATATACATTGTTATTTGAGCAGCGAGATTAGAATTTTAAAAAGGATGGAAAAATATATATTTATTATATCTCTTTAATTTTTTTTAGTATGACATGCGTATCAGTATATTTTTAATATGTTGTTATAACGAGTTTATTTAAATAGATAGCAGAGTAATTTTCCTCTCTTCACAATCTCATCTATGCATTCTTTTTAACTCATTTGTGTTCCGATTGATTGTTATTGTACGCCGTTGTTATTGTACATATGATTGTACATATCGTGAATAAAATGCAAATAAATTTATACCAGAGCGCAATCCAATATATTCAGGGAGATAGAAAGGGATACTATTATGCATTCGCGCTCTGCGAAGATTTCCGGGTTGAATGCACCGGCACTACTCGCGCAGTCGGGCACGATCGTGCATGAACACTGATCTTCGCAGGTGTACAGATTATGTCGTTAAGAGCGATCTACTTAGGGTCTACACTCACATAGTACATCCAGTGTCGTAGCGTCGTGGCTAGATCTCCCCAATTCAGCGTTCTTGGCCTCGCAGGTGTACACCTCGCCGTTCATGTCCTCGGTTAAATCTAGTGTGAGCTCGACGGACGAGAGGTAGCCGCCGTGTAATCCGGGCTTGGTGCTGTTTCTGGTGCCAGGCACCGGTATCCCATTCTTCCACCACGACATTTCGGCGGCGGGATTGCTGCTGCTCGATTCGCAGATTAGGTGTCCCTCTTGGCCGGCGTGAAAATCCTGGGGTTCGCGGTTAATCTTTACCCTCTCGGGCGGAACTGGAAAGGGTGAAAAGGTCGACGGTTTAAAATATCATTGCGCCGAGATACGTGACTCGCGACGTGAAGAAAAAGAGAGTAATTACAACATCGTTCAATCACTTCTATGTGCTAGCTTTTCTTACTGGAGAAACTTAACGTTTCTCGCTCGATTTAAGTGATCTCACGATAAAAACACACAAAAGGATTCTGATAATGAATATACAAGATGAGTCATACTTACAATAGACTTTTAGCACGAGAACTTTGAGTAGAGGGATCTCAGTGGCGGAATTCGTCGCCTCGCATCGCACGTGGGCATTGTTGTCGGATGCGTTGACTAGTATCGCCAGCTCACTCGAGACAGCGTGATTTCGCTGTCTCACTGTTCCGGATATCTACATTATAAGATAACGTTAACGTAACAATCAATATCCGTAATGGCAGATTTTAAAATTTATTTAGAGATCAAGATGCTTGTAAAAATTAAAAAACTTCAAAAAAAAGCGCAGGAAACAAATCTATATAAATTATAAGATTTTTTAAAATCAAATTTAAACTGGATAATTCTTACACGAATTATGGACTTTCAGTATTCTTTCGAAATTCCTTAATTTCCATTTGAGAAAATCGCAAAAAGAATTAATGTTATTACTTTGTAATTATTAAAACATCGAAAAGCGAGTGTTAAGAATTCTGTTTAATACACTGCAAGAAATTTAAAATAAGAAGTTTTAATCCCCGGATGCAAGATTGTTTCCAAATTTAATTGTCATTTCTAATTGTAAGAAAAACTGAAACGCATTCTGAGATTGGATAATCCATTAAATGAATAGATTAATTACTCCCATTATTATCATATCTTCAATAATTAGTAAAATTTTTAGAACTGAAAGAAATGAGGAATGAGTTTTGCGCTTAGAGTTTCATGTCTTTTGAGTTTATGTGATAATCCGCCACTACTAGATTTACGACGATCCTTTGTACAAGTTCACGTACCTTGCGGTCGTTTTTGTACCATGTTAACGTGGCCAATGGATTACCCGCCGTAGCGGTGCACATGAGCTTCAACACTGTTCCAGCGACTATCGTCGTGCCCTCTTCGTATCCGGTAACGGTTAGTTTAGAAGGTGGATCTATAAAATCGAATAAGCCCGATTATAACTGCGGTTAATTACATTTGAATATTCACGCATTATGCATCTCTGACATTTGCTACACTTACAGAAAAATGTCCGATTAAAAATGGACGAATGAAAAGATTCCGATTCTATTATTCAGAATTGCGGTTACCTGAACCAGAATTCTAGTAAAATTTAATCAGAAAATCTGATTTGTTTATTTTCAACCAGAATTCCAATCAGACATTTTTTTTCCAGTAATATTATATACCTATACCCACATGCGCGATTTAAAAATATTTCTATGAAAAACTAAAATGCAGATGTAAATGGAAAAGATTTATGCAATATAAAAATTGTTTAAACCACAAGCGAATGTATAATAAAAAAGAAACAAACGTTTTTCCTTCATTTTCTATCACGCTATACAATACGCGCGTTTATCATTCGTCTTCGTCTCGTTTACCGACTTCATCTCACTGTTCACTGAACATTCGGTAAAAAGCTTATGATAATTTGTAAGGATTATTTGTTGAATTCAGTTACGCTATTGGACACGAGTGGCATTCGTTATAGTCTCGGATTGCCGAGCGCGGTATTGATTGGAGGCCACTAATTGTTTAGTATATTCAGACAGCGAATAATTTTAATGCATGTAATTACAAACTGAAAACGCAGTTGATTATACAAGGATTATTTATTTATGGCGGAAATTAATGTCGGTCGATTACGGTTGTATTATTGCGAGAGTGTATCATGCGCGCAACATGACGTAATGTCGAATATGTTAAATGAATTCTGACCATCCGATCCACGAGATAGTGCGCGTATGCGTGTTTCGGGACCCCGGATATAATGGTGGCGTGGTCGATTAATTTGTCATCGCGTGCCGTGAAGACATCAGCGAGAACAACAACAATATCGTTACCTAATTTTCTAAAACACGTTACCTAATTTTCTAAACACGTTACAAATTGATTATTAAAAAGATCTATTATTTTGATGAGACTCGAGAAGAATATTAGCACGCGTTATAATAGGTATTTCATTTTAGGAATAATCTTTTTAACTTATCTTAGCTTTGCTTATTTTATTGTATGTATTCGAATTATATATTATCTGTGGCAAAAGAGCATTTTTAATCAGAAGTTAAAAGAAGGAATAAAGATTTTCATACAACGTTATTTTCTATTATATTATATTAATGTGTTGTTTATGTTTTAATTAAAAATATATTAAATGTCGGTTCCTCTTTAATGAGAATATATTCGTGAAGAGGATTAATTGCATTCGTAAATGAAGCAGGAAGCGTAAATAATGAACTGTGAATTTCATTTTTCGTTTTAATTATGTTAATCCAACCTCGATTTTATCTTAACGAGGATTTACTTGACGCGCGGCCACTAAAAAATTTAATATCGACAATTGGCAATTGAAAGGTTCTTCCGTAAAATATCTCATGCAGTAGTCCCGATATACCCATGTAGGACGAGTCTTTGACGCGGGACGGAAATTAGATTTTCGCTGCGGGCGAGAAGCACGGTGTCTCGTTACAACTGCAATGTGCCCGCGTGATGCGCTTGTACCGAATGCCTGGCGAAATTGTATGATAGAGAAGAGGAATGCTCACATATCACGTTGATGGTGTGCGTGCCGACCACGTTCTCCGTGAGCTTGGCGTTGGAAGCGTGGCAGATGACGACGATGCTGCGGCTCTTGCGATTAATGCTGAACGTCACGTTCGAGCTGGTGATCCAGCCACCGTTCGGTGCCAGCTCCGTCTTCGAGGCGTTGCTCTCGAAATTATGCCCGTCCACCGTCCACTTTATATCCGCGGGCGGATTCGAGTTCTCCGTCGTGCAAGTAATGAGCACCTGGTCGTCCGCCTTCGCCTCGGTCGGACCGCTGATGGTTACTCCGGCAGGCGCGACTATAGAATTGTAAGAGTAAGCGCATGAAAAAACTCGATTTGTTGATCTAAACGGCGGGTTCATAAAAACCCATCGTAGAAATAGTAGAAAAAGTGGATAGGTGCACTGAGAAAAAGTATTTAGTTGGATTAATTGAAAAATCTGATTGAAAATGGACGAATCAAAATTTTCTGGTTAAATCTATTGTTCTTATAGTTGAAATAATCGGAAATTTTATATCATCAGAATCTTTTGATTCGTTCATTTTCAGACATTTTTCTCAGTGCAGACATAAATATTTAATTAATTTGGAGCAAGAGAGCAGACCCAAAATAAATGTTTAGTGGATATATGATGCTATCTAAATTCTTTGAAATGAATTGCACTCCAAAAGAGTAAAATTTCACTGTAAAGAATTTAGAGAGTAGGTATCAGTAAAAGAGAAAAACGGAAAATGCCAGAAGAAAAATAACGAAGGATAACATAAATTATTAACTTTTCGATGCCATACTGTGGTAACGACACATTTGGGTATAGCATATCCAACTCAATTCGATTTTTATTAACTTTCATAAAAACGAATACATTGTAAAAAACCTGTGGCTGAGAGAATATTTTTTACGTTTTTAAGAGAGAGAGATGCTTATTAACTTGACTATTGAAATAAAATTATTTTATTTCAAGTCCGATAAACCTTATCAGCATGCACTTTATAAAACTGAAATAATATATTTGCAAAAATTTGCATGTGATATTATCAAATATCTAGTATTATTAATTTAGTATTATTAAGATCCGCTTTGACCAAAAATAGGATTATTTCTGTTAATCGATTATTCTCGTTGGTTTAATTTCGATTTACATTGTAAAGATTTTTTTTTTTTTTATCTTTATTAATAAAAAAGTTATAATTAATGGAAAAAAATTAGAAATACATTAAAAACAGAAAGTCGGGTATGCCATACCTAGAATAACACCGAAAGTTTAAATTTAAATTTTTGTAGTCCTGATATCCTGCTAAGCAAATTTCCGGGAACTGAAAGCCACCAAGCTACATTCGAAAAATTAATATCGCTCGCCGTCGTCAATTTTCATTTTTCATGTTGGCGATAAAAAAATGAAATATAAAGTTTACCAACAGGCTGTCAATATCTGCAACAGTACGGTCGACAACCGTTTACCCTTAATCGTAAATGTACGATAAGCTAGAGCCGTGGTATTTTTCTAGCTTTATCGCATATATCACGCAAACATAAAGTTAGCAAAATTTCAATTTGGGTAACGCGAACGTAGCCTCGGCGAAAATAGAGAAGCGGAATTATTTATGCGGCTGTTCCGTCGGCAAGAGATCGTCCATACGCTGTGCAACCTTAGTTGTGCAATACTATGCTTTGCGGCAAAGTAATGGTGAGTGCCACAGACAGGCACCAGGCAACGTTAATATTCTAACACCTTAAATACGTCTCAAGTATTACTCGCGAGAAATACGCAAGAAATTCAAGAACAGAAAAGAGCAATAAAAAAAAATCTATATTTTTCCATTCTTTTTGCACCACTTTTTGAAATTAACATCTCAAGTTAATTTTATATGAATAAAATTATTCTCGAAAATCATTAATCCATTAAGGTAAACAAAATAAAATCATCGAACGTAATTGTGGATATATTAAATTAAGATATTTTGCGTTATTTCATATTAATACAAAAAGGATCATAACATATAATTACATAAAGATTAGTATACATACGTATATGATGCATTATTAAATGCATTAAAAATTAAAAGTCCATTAGTCCGATTAATATAAGAGATGATAATAACATGCGATTATTATATGAAGGATAAATATAATGTATACACAGGGAATAAATGAGAAGGGACGAAGGGTTTCTCAGAGCATTTCTCGAAATGCAATTTGCAATGTTTTACCGCTACCTAACCGCGTGCAATTATCGTAGGCGCGCACACTTACACAGTACGGTGAGATCGACGTGTACTTTCATGGGTTGCACACTCATGATGTTAGAGACCTCGCATCTGTAGCGAGCCTTGTCGTCCTCCGCTCGGGCGATGAACGAATACACGTTCTCGCTGACGCCTGGACCTCTGCGATGAGCCGCCGTGACCTTCTCGTCATTCCTGTACCAGACAATTTCCGCCTGTGGATTTCCGCCACGTGATCGACAGGCGAGCTCCACATTTTGACCGCGTTGCACGGTCTCACCCTCTGTATAACCCTCTATGTATGGTGGACCAGGTGGATCTGTGAAACAGACGCCGGCGTTGCGCCGTTATATAGAGGTGTCGTGCTAACGAAACTTATTTGAAAACATAATCCGGATAATTGGGATCGAAAGTCATTCTCAGCTCGAATGACTCAAAGTGATGACACGTGCATGCAAGATTTGAAAAGAGCTCTACGAGTACCGTATCGCGCATTCAAATTCTGTACATATATTTGGCAAATTGCGATTCATTCCGAGGATTACATCGCGTAATAAATTCAACCTAACTTGTTACACGAATTTCAGCAATTTGGTGAACGCTAAATAATTTTGCTATTACCGCGATACATATTACAGCATATTATCTAAATTATCAAAATTACTCTAGTTTAACCTCTTATTATTCTATCTTATAATATAAAGCATTTGCTTTTATTCGCATACAAATAAGATTTCTGTCAATTTCATCGCAGAAATAAAGCATTGTATAAAATTAAAGAAACACGTATTACACGTGTTTAATTTAACAAACTAAAAAATAAAAAAATTACAGATTTTTCGTTTTCGATAATGCTTATACACGAACTCTTAATTTCACTTACCATATACATGACAATATATTACGGTAATGACATAAGTGGTCACGCGGGTACATATTTTTACAGTGAATATATAATACGTTTATCGTACTTACAGAAAACGGAAAGTGTAATGGTAGCCCGCATAGGCCTATCTATGGGTATTGCCGGGTGGCTGGCCTCGCAGGTGTAATCCATTCCATTATCATCTGCCGTAGGCATGATGGTAATAGAACCGTGAGTGTCGTATTTGAGCAATTCCTTCGTCTCCCCGGGCTTCTCCTTGTCTGAAACATTGTCCGCGCAAATCGCGAAATAAATACAACCTGCCACTTGCGCTTCTACTTTATAGCAAAATTAAAACCACTTTTCCTTGATTAGATATTACTTTTTTGTTTTACATACTATGTTATTTGATGAGAATTTCAAGAATGTGGAATAACAAGTTGCCATAAGTTCCAGTTGTGATTTACTCCTATCTTATAATAGCAGCAACTAACCACTTTTTTTTAATGTTTTATTATTGTTCATTTTTTATAATTTTTTAACAATTTTGAAAAAATGCAAATGAAAACACATCAATACTTTATTAATCGCTTTCTAAAATTTTCTGATCGCATATCTATCGCATATTTATCGATAAATATCTGAATGCCTGAATTTATAGCAAAATTATAATTTCAATATCGAGCAGCATTGATTCTTGATCGTGATCCAAAGACTCTTTAACGTTCGATTATTTGTGTCAAATTAATTCAAGATTTACGAAGAAGGTTGAATTATTCATAAATGGCGTGCACGAAGATAATTTACATTATAGTTGCGAGTATACGCAACGTTACGAGAAAGATACGCGTATTCGCAATGTGAATCTCGTTTTAAATCTCCGTTAAAAGCTTCGGACAAGCTTTTACAGCGTAAGCACGACGCATGACTCTTTATTCCGCGCGCTACAATCCACATGGTTTTTGGAGACACAAATGCCGGAGATACAAACGCTCTCAACGGGGTTTGACTGGATGCGTAATGGCCGAGGAAAGATTGCTGCTAGAATGACGAGCGAGATGCGAGTAGAGCATCGTAACAAAGGAAACAACGACGATCGCGATTTATTTTTGTACGTAGACTTGCATTTCACGCTGTTCGCAACTTCGCCGTTGTTAGATAGTGCGCATCTAATAGCTTTATATATTGCAAATCCAAGTGTGTAAAGAATGGACTTCAACATATGTGTGTGATTTACTTTTTTGTGTAAAAATGACACTACACTACATAAATCCATTTCTGTACGCGATATAATGTGTTACTTTTACACGGAAAACTAATCTCACACGTATATTGAAGTCACTTTTTCCACACTTGTGGATTTGCAGTGAAATTGATTGCCTTCATGTATGAGTGTGATTTAGGTTTTCATAAAAATAACACACTATACTGCATACGAAAATGAATTTGCACATTTAAACATGTATACTTATCGCGTTATTTTTACATGAAAAAATAATCACACATATACGAAAACACTTATCACACAAAAGAATTTACAGTATAGCGAGCGCTAAGATGATTCAGCTATTTCTCACTCCTCTTTCTTATAAAGTTGCATTAAATAATATTGTGTTGATGACGTCGGATAAGATATTAAAAATATTACAATTTTTTACGAGGTAAAAAAGAAGCGATTTTTATCACGCAAGTGGAAAGAAATGTTATCATATTTTTTGTAAAAGCAGCCTATATTCATGCTTATAGAGATAAGTTCATGGATGGTGCGCGCGATTTTCATTACGATGAATTACAGAATTTAAATATTATTTCCTGTTTTTAAAACGTATTATAAATTGCGAGGGAATTGATGTTCATGTTACACCGAAAGGGATAATATTAAAATATGTACGTAACGTAAAATAATATCAAAATACTCATTTTAACTTCAATCGAATAATCCGCTAAATGTAAAGAGCAAATTTGTTTTAAATACCTACAAATTCATCACAGTCTGCTTACGTGTATTTTCCGATAATAAATCCGCGTTACACGATAATAATTGCGATGTTCGTAGAAGTGCGTACTTTCCTTCTCCATACATTTTATTCGAGTCGAATATACGTAAAATTCACGAAACACATGCAGGTACATTCCTATAATATATTGAACCAATCACACGATTAATTAAACAATAAAACGGTAACTAGAATTTATGCAAAACACTGCAGTGATATTCTAATATTTATATATGACGCTTTTATGTTAAAGTTTCATTTCTTTAATCAAAATAATTTGGTGCTATGTGACGATTCTACATTTTATAAAATTAAGTCATTATTACTCTTTCTTTTATCTTACCTTTTTTTCTACTAGATTAATATTTCATCACTATAACGAGAAATAGCAGTTCCTGCATTCATTGGATATTCATTTGTTTATTCCTGTTCATCGAAATAGTTAATGAAGCGTCTTTATGCATCACGTTTCGCAGAAACTTTTCTTATCTACTTTCGACGACTACGAATTCGCATTTGCAAAAATTTAGTCAGTATTCATTTCACGGACACACCCCGTGCATCGTATAATCGTATCGCATCGCGTTGCGTCGCGTCACGTCCCTTTTCATTTCGTCCGCACTATTTATCGATGTTCTTATCGGGATATATTTTAGCCCTGCGCTCCAGCCGATACGATCGTTTGATGTCTCGTCGGGTTGTCTCCGGCCGAATGTAAAAACGCAAGCGGTAGCGCGAGCGAGAGACAGGAATGTCAATTTCGGTAGTTGGAGCGCGGCCAGAGTTGTGTGTCACAGGATCGATCGAAGATGCACTTGGCAACTGGAAGCGGCGCTAAGAGGGAGAGGCGTCTCGACGCCGTCCCAATCTTTTTCCCACTTATACACGCGTCGCGGTGAGCATCGCCCAAACAGCTCTTCCTACGCGAGATTACTTAGTTACCTCTGAATATATCGTGCACTAAGCCGAATTTAAACTCAGCGAAACGTGCGCGAACGCACGCGAATAAACAGCTTAGATATACTTCAATGAGAGTGATCGGTATAGTCATACAGCGCTATTCGCTAAGGTTATTTATTCATGCTTGTTCATGCTTGCTTGCTTAGTCCAGATCCTGTCTTAGTGCTGTATATTCACGGTATTTCGTCTAGTTTGCAATTACGACGAATTTGATTAACTTGGAGAATGTAAAAGATCGTAAAGAACGTAGCAAAAACGGTTTTTAGATATCTGAAAGATTTGGGAATCCTTCAGATGCCTTTTAAGTCTTTTCCTAAGAGTCTTTGGATTATTGCAGGAATCTTGTATACAATTCATGCATTTAATTCGCTTCTATGTATTGAAAGATAAATAGAAAACTGTGTGTGTGTACGTGTGTCTTCTTTTTCAATTTCTTTCTCTAGTTACGGAAACATAAAAATACAGATAAAGAAGTACGTATATATAATGTTAGAATAAAATCACCTTGGCTCAATAAAACGAATCCTATTTTTTAAATGACGTAAAAATATCTGTGGTGTATTCTTGTCAATGATATAATATATTTATTATAAGATATAAATGCATATTAATCTGTTGATATTAAAAAAGATATATATGCCTACACTATAATATATAAATCTAAAGTTTAGAAACTTTTTTTCCTGAAAATTGACATATTTTTGAGATTCCTTATTAAAATATCTTTAACAATGTATTTTTTAATATTAATGCTTTAGATCCAATAATTGTTCTGAATAATTAATATTAAAGAAATCACATTGTGTTATAGATATAATATTTGAAATAAGTAATCCTAAACGCGCGCACACCCACACACACATACACGTCCATTTTCCACGTCAATTTTTAAAAAGTATTTTCAAACTTTTAGAAAGTACATGAAGTATACGTTGAACTCGTCGATAATTTCTGTTATCGCTCACTTTATAGTATCAATAACAGTTATTTATAATGAAAGAATTTAATCAATCTTTCTGATATTTCCGCGACTCAAAATTTGATGTGTGAAAAGAAATTAATGCACTGAAAAAAATTTACCTCACACAAATCTTAATACATATTTCTTTATAGTACTAACAAAGTAAATATATACTCATATTAAATTTTACCAAAAAAAAATCACATTAGATAATGGTTCCTGCACCAAATAAATATATGTTTACATTTAGTAAACATTTATTTACAAATATTCAAACAAATATTTATTAAAATTTAGTTTTCTTTTCAGTGTATATATGTATATATGTATACAGCATAACCTTTGACAATTATCTTAAATATAATAAGCAATAAATATCAGTATAGTAGGATAATGACAATTCGAAAACTCGCTTTTGCGCGCAAATGAGAGAACTATTTATACTCGGTCGCGAAATTTAATTAGACGGTACCACGTTATTAGATCAGAAATGCGCTTATCTGTGCATACGTATAATACGGCGGTCATTTAATCCTCGTCGCGTAATAACCATGATATATTCATTCGCGCACGGGATTATCGTAATCGAATATCAACGTGCGTAACAGGATAGCGTAACTACTTACCACCCTGGATAGAGATTGCGGCGATAGTGGTGTCGCCGCCCTTGATCTGCGTGTTTCCGCGATACCAAATGATCGAGGCAGCCGGTTTGGCTGCGCTAACGATACACTCTAAGCGCCGCGATTCACCCACCTTCACCTCGATTATCTGCTTCTTCGGGTGATTACTGATTGCCACCTTCTGTGGAGGTGCTGGAAATAAAAAAAAGCGTATTTTTTAAATCCATTTAAAATTATTATTTATTTACATAATACTTATATGACGAGAAAAAGTTTATATTTAAAGTGTAAAATCGTATATAAGAGCATGGTAAAAAATATGATATATATTTTCATGAATGGAATATTTCCATCGATAGGATTATGTCTCTCTCTCTCTCTCTCTCTCTCTCTCTCTCTCTCTCTCTCTCTCTCTCTCACACACACACACACACACACACACACACACACACACACACACACACACACACATACACAAAATCCTTTTTTATTATTTATAATATACTAAATTATTGATTCAGAAATCATTTTAACTCGTACACGGAAGAAATTATTTCTTAAAATTTATTTTGAAAATATGAAAATCATGGGACAACATTATGATATATTTCGAAGAATTTTAATGTGTAAACCTCTCACATTTCATATCTTAAAATTGGCGTGTTACGCTTTTTTGAAGCCTCTATTCGTTGAGGCAGTTAAAGTAATTCGAAAATGGTGAATTTTGGTAATAAGGAATTTTCGGGGACGCTCTTTTAAAAACATGGTAAAAATTATGATAATTAAAAAAGACTTATCCAACATGGCGGACGGAAAAGATGCGAAAATCTTAAAG